AATCAAAAAAGAACTTGCGGGGACGACTTAGTTAACTAAATATTACCTTCACACACTGAGATGACTAACATTTCCCTTTAAACTCTAACCTTCAAACCAACACAGAGACCGGATTCTGATAACATTGCGTATTGGACTAGTTGTATGGAATTGCGTTGGATTGTTCTGGTCTGGTTTAAAAACTGCATATTGGCTTGAAAAAGCATGTTTGGCAAATTCATTTGTATTTATGTGGGTCACACGGATTATCTCATAATTTGAAAGTTTTTTAATTGAATTTTACCATCATTTCCCTTCGGTAATCCAACTGTTTGAAAAGCAATAAATACACTAATTTTTTTCACAAGAAATCTCATTGGTGCTAAATTTAAGTCACCTCCTAGATGGGTAAGGGAAACCCCCACCAATGGATAAATGTTACTATTCAAATTGGGTCTTGGATAGGCTACCAATACCATTTTTTGCTTTCCAAACATGGAATAAGTGGGGCTATAGCTCAATTGGGTCTTATCAACCACTAGTCATACTCTATGACTAAAGTTTCTGTACATTAAACTGCGACACTGTGCATGTATTAGAATATGTATACAACTGAAATATGTGTATGCGTGTGCCTGTGTTGGAGTATGTGTACATGCGTGCAACTATATTGTGGAGTGTGAGTGCAAGATAATATTTTAGTTATGAGGAACATTACCTAAGTTTTAAAAACTTAGCTGATTTATTATATAGATGTTTTTAACCTCTTTATTCCGTCATCTAAAGACCATCTAAATAAACATCTATCTTTTTGGAGCAATTACAATAGGACAAGTGGAAAGATTTAATTATTTTATCACTTTATCTTATTTTACTATTTTTATAATCAATAAAAATAAATAATTAGATTCATTTTCGGATAAAGTACCAAAAACAACAAGCTTTTGGTCGACGACATTATCTGTTAAGGGGTTGAAAGTTCACATACTCAACTTTTGGTGACCACGTATTATTTTTTTAAACTGTATCACATGTCTAATATATAATCATTCCGTCAAAAACTTAACAGTCCGTTTATGTAAAAATCATTTAAACAAAAATTGAATATTATAAGGATTAAATTGACAAAAATAATATTTTAAAAACTAAACTGACAAAATACACATTTTAAGAAATAAAAATACTATTAATCCAAAAAATCAACAGGACCCATTAGTCTAACTATCTACATTAATTTTGTAAACATAAAATTACTTACTCAAAAGGTGGTCAGTAAAATGGATGGTTTCAGCCCAATTCAATCAAAACAAAAAAAAAAACCCACACTAAAAAGTTGGCCAACAAAATGGTTGAAGAACATTCCCAAAAACCCACACGTTTTACTGTATGGTCAATTGGGCAGACACCATACTGGAACCCAGATCATGGAGGTGATGGAATGGCCGCCTACAATTTTGTCTTTACTTTAAACATCACCAGATCTATAGATTACTGTTTTTATTGCACTACTCAGAAAAAGGTCTACTTTAGTGGGGAGGCCTCTTTTGGTTGCCGTAGGCCTTTGAAACTCTAATTTTGGTGGGATATATTCGTTATATATATTGGATGATTATGACACCGAAAGAGATATTACATTAAAGTTAATAATTTTTTTTAGGTAAAGTTATAAAACTTTTTTTTTTTTTTTTGTTTACCACAAGGTGTTCAGACTTGTATCAATTATTTCAAACTCAATAGCTGACCATCGTAATTTGAAGTTAAAACTTTTTAAGGTGTAACTTGCAACTTCAAAAAACATGATTAATTCTAAAATATTATGATCAAGTTATAACTTTCAAAAATTAAGTTATAACTCATAAAAAAATTATAATTTATTCAAATATTTCACAATCGCCCACAATGTTTATTAATTAATTATTTCACAATACACTATATATATATATATTATAGTGTATTGGACACTGTGCGCATGGAGGGATGAGCCCAAAAGCAAAATTGGATTTTAAAAGGTGGAAAACAGGTAGTGCCATCACATTTAGGGCACACCTCATCTTGTACTTGGACTATAGGAATTTGGAATGTAAATCTAGCTAATCGGAAGGGAAAATCCGAGTTTACAAGAGTTAGGGTGCATCAAAAAAATGCCAATATTAAACATTGGTTGGTACTATATACATTTTTGCATGGTCACATATCCCATGCAATGCATGAATTTAGAATTTCTTACCATTGTCATTCTGACCGCCACCCCTTATCTATCATTAAAAATTAGTCATTAATGTATTAATTTTTTTTTTTTTTGAAATAGTTAAATATAGCTAGTGAAAAATTTAAAGATGAAGTAGTTACCAACTTTATGTATAGACCACATGTAAGAATTCAATTGGAAGGACATATACATAAATTAAAAAATTAAATAATTAGATTATTCAAGTGAGTCTCATAAACATTAATGGGGATAAATGTATCACATTATTTGGTGATCGCAACTAGAATTAGCGTTCATATTGCTAGTCATAGGATTTCTGCCTATAAGAACCAAAGTCCATGCAAGAAAATGCAGTTTGCTTTAACAGGATGGGTGAATCGATGAATCCCGCCAAAAAAAAGTTACTAGACCTATTGATCCAATCATCTTTGTTAATTTTGGATATAAATTTGATATACAAATTTGAGACATTATGTGTCCTAGTATCAGAGTAAGAGATATATATTCTAAATAACATGGTTAAATCTATATAATAAATCAGCTAGTAAGTTGAATCTTTATCCTTTATATATTTTCTCCCTAAAAAATATCATATCACTTAATTCTATCGCATATTTAATCATTTAAAATTTAATTATTTATAGTTTAACATAACTTTTATTTCATACATTATTTATACATGATAGTATATATTTGTTGAGAAAAAAATTTCGGATTATGTATTTTAAAAAAATTTTGTCGATATTTTTAAAAAAATAGTAGATAAACATAGATTTTAAATGATATAATCATCGACATAAAGGAAAAAAAATATTATTTAATATAGTGGAATAAATATTTTTGAGCGTTTAATTTTATGTTTCATTGTGCCTTCAGACACGGGTTATGAATAATAATCTATGAAGCAAGGATATGAATACGGGACACGGGTACGATACGATACGGATACGACGATACGACAAAATCTAAAAATATAGGATATGGGTACGGCCAGAATACGACTATAATAAAATATATTTATTATTTTTATTATTTTTAACCAACTTAACACTTATATATTTTGGTTGTTCTTTAACATATACTAAGAAAAATTAGTAATTCTTTTTAGTTTCAAGGAAATATATATCGTGTCGCTGTGATATATTTATAAAGTGAAAGGACTAATTAAAGAAATCAAAACTAATATTTACCTAGTATTTAGAAACGATTTTTGCTAAAATTATAATGTAATAGTTTTAATATATGGTCTTTTGACATGCAATTGTAGATAATACTTAAAAAATATTCATGTACTTTTGAAGTAATTTGAAATTTTTGTTAATGTATTGTATGATATGTGAATTCGAAAAAAGATGTTAAAAGTTCAACTAAAAAATTATATATATTGCTCTACTACAAAAGTATCCGTGAAATATCTTAATATTTAATTATTATCGGATACGTAGAAGGTGTATCTGATACGTCTCTTCGAATATTTGATAAGTATTATATTCAATACGATATCTAGTACAGATACATCAATTTCAATAAATTACTCGTGTTTCATACGTAATAATTCGTTGCGAAGGTTGCAGACCTTATAACTAAAAAGTAATAATAGATTTTTCAGATTGAGATCCCGTGTCAAATGTAAACTACGGTCTAATGAGTTCCTGACAAGTGGGAGGAATGTTTGGATAGAAGAAGTGGAGCTAATGGGTCCGAACAATATCGTTTACTTTGACTTCTCTTTCTATGACCTATAATGCTTTTGAATCCTAATGTTCTAGGGCAAATTTCCCTGACACTTCTTGAAAAATAGTTTAATTATTTGAACATTCTTATAATTTCTGAAATAACCCCTAATTTTAGGCAGTGTTAGTAAAATTTATCAATTGTTTTATTACATCTAGGTGAGTAGTGAGATCAACATTGGATGAGGTTCACTGTCAATCTAATAGAAATGCATAAGGTTATCTAAATTAGGTTTCAAATTATGTCAAAATAATATTTTATATTTTAAAATTTAATTTATTAACCTAATTTATTGCTATATTTAGATGAGCAACGGATCCCAATATCAAATGAGATTCATTGTCAATCTCACAATATTAAATCAACAAATTTAATTGAGTTAGCATTATTGCTTTTGTAAGAAATTAAAAATAATTATAAATATTCCCCAAAGGTGTGATGACGTACTTCCCGATGAAGCAGTACAACAGAGAGGATTAAGAACATCTCCAACCATGACTTAAATTTTTATTCAAATTTAAATTAACATTTGAGTAAAAAAAACTTGATTTGATATATATTACTCAAATTTAAAGAAAGGGAGACCCAAATTTAAATGAGGGTAAATTCAAATTTAAAAGAGAGTAAGGATGACCATTGGATCTTTAAAAGATAGTGAAATCTCACAATTAAAAGATTTGAGTAAAAAAATAAGTTTTTTTGGTATAAATTTGAGTCAAGGGTAGGAGCAAATTTTTTAGACTTTTTTACTCAAATTTAAATTTGAGTCTAAATTTGAGTAAATGTTAGAGATGCCCTAAGATACCATACAATATATTTTATTCTTTATTTTTTCGTTTGATGGATTAACCCTGAATTTAAGTCAAGACTCGATGCATATAAATGAGTCCATCCTTCATTAATAGTGAATGATCCGTCAAGTAAAAAAATGAAAAAATAAAATCAAATTAGAGAAGATCAGGATCAAAGAGAGAGATCTAGGAGAGACAGAGAGAGAGCTCTCTTATCCTCTCAACTATAAATATGGCCTCAGGAAATACCATTGTTCAGAATTCATTGTGCTTTGCTTTCCTCAGTCATGGTTCTCCTAGTCATAGCAATGGTATTTAGTTTATTGTGCAAGGAGATAAGCCTAGTCAATGGGGATATTGGCACGGCTACTTCTTATAATCCTCCATATACACGTGAGTTCGCATATATACATGCAACATTATCTTAAGTAGAAGCCAATCTTTCCCAAATACATGAAGCTGTATATGTATACATAAACTTTTACCTTTCTAAAGAGCATGGTCTAATGTATCGGTCGATATCGAAACATCTGACTCGACACATTTTATTTTAATATCGTCTTATATACGTTCTATGTAAACCAGGAGTCTCAAGCGACTCAGTTGAGTCACTAAGACATCTCCGAGCTAATCCCTAGAAGTTCTAGTGTCATTATCAAATCGACTAATATTATTTCACCTTATATCGTCTTATAGTGTGTCGGGATACACAACTTTTATGTCTCCATGCCCTCTAAGTCAATGACCCATATAACAACCTTAAATGGCAGAAAGTCAGTCACGAGTCATGTTTACAATTGATCAATTCATTTTTCTATTTTTGTGCAGCTACCAAGTGCAATGGCAACAGAGCAGATCAATTTCCACCAGGAAATCTATTTGTAGCAGTGAGTGAAGGCCTGTGGGACAATGGGGCAGCGTGTGGCAGGCGTTACAGATTGAGGTGCTTGAGCGGCTATAACAAGCCATGCAAGGATGGTACTGTTGACGTTAGGGTGGTGGACTTCTGCCCTAGAAGGCCATGCCCTGCAACTATTGTCATGTCCAATGATGCTTTTGGTGCCATCTCTCACTCCCCAGACGCGAAAATCAACGTTGAATTCATTCAGTACAAAACTCATCTTTTTCTATCGCCTTCTTTTATTTTCTTCCTGACATGCTTCTACTTCTTCTAATGTTTTTCTTTTTACTAAAATACGACAATTTTTTCCACTTTATTTCCTATCTGTAGTTGTTTTATTCTTATTTATTAAACTGCATTACTTTTCATTAAAAAAAAAAAAGTGAAGTGAACCTGAAAAAAAGTAAGTTCAAGTCTGGCTTTCTTTAAACTAACCATAATTTGGTAAATAAGTTTAAAAAGAATAGTATTTTGGTAAAAAGATTTAAAAATGATGTCAGTAGGATCATTATCTCTCTTCTTCTAAAACGTGAAATTGTCAATTTTGGCAGGATCTGACATGAAATATGCAAATATCAAGTCCTCATCAGTGTGATTATGCAGTCAGGCTTGAGTGGGATTCACGAAGAATAAGGAAAACAATGCTGGGTATTGAGGAAAAAAGTTTCTCTTGTAGATTTTGGAATGAATGCTTCCTATGTACTTTGATCATTTAATATTAATATGGTTGTCATATCTGACAACAATGAGGAAATTTAGAAAGCAAAGTATTCCTTGAATAGTGTAACAAAAAATCTCGTTTAATAAATGGTTGGTGGAGGTGGTGGTAATGCTAGTGGTGATGGTGTTTGTGGTGGTGGGGTGACGATGGTGTTTTTTTTATGCCCAATATGCTATTATTGGGTTTAATAATCTAACTCGTTTCGATCCTATTTCTACCGCACAACTCACCTAAGCTACCTTTTGCCACACTACCGGTGTATGATGGAACTAAGCCGACTAAAGGAGCCTCTTATGACTTTTGTTCGGGAAATTTGCAGAGTTTTGTGAAAAACTATCTTACAAAAGAGAAAAATTGAAACTATAACATGAGCCGTAGATTAGAATCTTAGAAAAACATAAACATGTGATTTTGAAGTAAAGATATGCTATTAACAATTAAAATAGATTGAAAAGAGCTCTCATGCGAGTACGAGAGCCGTTTTTACAGTCGTAAAGGAGTAAAAAAAGTTTAGTGTATTAATGGAAATCAGTGTCTCTAGAATTCAAGCCAAATGTCTACAGTACTATTCCCTTAATGGTTGCTTTTTTTTTATAAGGATTTCATTAAACTGAAAAGGGATTCGTATACAAAAGTATGTCCTTAGTGGTTATGTTTACTGGAAGATAAAGGTGAATCGGACTCGAACCTAAGTAGTCGATCAATATATTCATAGAAAATAATGAAATATTAAATGATGAAAGAAGCAAGGAAAGAAAGGCTGGAACAGTATAGAATTTCTAGTATATTTGCAAGACCTTTGAAAGGTCTACTTTATATAGGTAAGGGAAGTCATTATTTATTGTCTCTGAGAGCCCATAAAACTTGTTTTAGAATATATATCTGAAATTAAATGAAGGAGGTGTTCTTTTCCTTCAATGACATGAAAGTCCATTGCCCGAATGGATACAATGCTCATTTCTTTTAAAGAGCATGGCCAATTATGGGAGGATAAAATTGAAGCTGTCAAAAGAATTTTTAAGAAGTGGCAGGCTCGTCAGGGAACTCAGCTCTACCGTCCTTGCTTTAGTACCCAAAGTCGCTAATCCTCCTTCAAAAGTCGCTATAAAAAACCATTTCTAAGATGGTAACCAACAGAGTGAAGGAAGTTCTTCAGTCAAATAGGCGTTGTACCTCGGATGAATATTGGTGACAACATCCTATTGGCCCAAGACCTATTGGGAATCCATCATAGAAGCAATGGGTCTCCTAGACGTGTGATCATGGTTGATATCATGACATCTTTTGATACCCTTAATTGGAGTTTTCTGCTTTGATGGTGTATGACCACGTTGATAAGCAAAAAGTGCAGATGGCGTATGATAAGCGTGGATCAAAGCTATAAGGCTCGTGTGTGATGCTGGAACGAAATGCAAAGGGGATTAGAGGGGTACACATAGTGAAAATATAGTGGTTCACCGGCTCAGGAGCTTAGCTAGTCCACTCTTTAATGGAGGCTCTTACTCCCTCTCCTCTATTCACTACTCAAATGTATTACAATACCGTCTCTCTCGAAATTAGGGTTCCTCCCTCTTCTATGGAGACGTTACATAGCATTTATAGGACTATTTCCTATTCTGTAGGATCTCAGTCGAGATCTTCGCCTGCCATTAGTGGGACTCTCCTTGATTTTAGGAAAGAATCTTGGTTGATTGAGTGTTTCATGCATTGAACCCAATTTTCACAGTTATCCAGCAATTCCCTAGTCAACCCCGCTATCATCTCCCCAGGGGAAGCTCTGGCCTTGGACTTCTGAGTTCCTCGTATCCTACCAGACCTCCTGACTTGACTTCGTTTCCTGCGCTCTTATAACTTATTTGAGATATTATCAGTTGCCCCCCAGCCCCTTGTTCAAGGGAGCTTGGACAGGGGTTGAGCTGTTTTTAAACCAAGCTGGGCTTACACGCGGCTGTCTTTGGCTTGCACGTGATAGATGCATTTTATACGATTTTCAGCAATCATGGCCTCCTCGATTCCCGCACATGCTTCAGCCTACATCTCTCAAGTTTTAAATACTCTATCAGAACCGCCATTTTCCACTGTTTGGTTTCTTTGCTGTCTTTCCCTTCTTGCGGTCTCTTGGCTTTCTGGTTTGGAGTTCTCCGATTCTTTACTCAAGATCAAGTTTCTTGGGTTTGATTTGAAGACTTGCATTGCTCTCTTTCTTCAATTTCGCTCTAGGCTGTTGCTCTTTCCTAACTTGGTACGCCTCTTTTGCCCCCTCTTACGCCTTTTCTTGTCCTGGATCCCACGAGTTCGAGGTGGTCATTGCATTTTTGGGCTTTTCGATTCTTTTATCTCTGGAATCAAAACTGCTGCTTGTCTCATCTTCCCTACTTCATGGATTGGGGCCCTATCGTGCGAATTCTCGCTGTTAGAAGCTACTGTGTTGACCCTAAAGTTATCTAGGAGTGTCTTACTAGTATCCCTCACCTTTATTGTTCTTTCAATTTACCTTTCTCCTGTCCAATCATGTCCACCCCTTCCAGGGCTACTCGCTCCTCTGTTTTTCTCTTGAGAGAAAATTTTGTCGAAGAGGGCACTGATTTAGGAGATGTGGGCGAGAAAATCGACAACTTCCCCGGTGTTGATGTTGTCGACGCCGAGGAAAATACTGAGGAACCTCCCCCATCGTCTTCTTCTATGCCCCCTAATCCTAACAAATGTAAGGGCAAGGTGAGTGGGGTAGGAGTCTCTGACAGCGCAGCGGGCACCGGGACTACCTTTAGGCATGCTGAGCTGGTAGGTCCTAATGAGGTTGACCCTTCTTTTATGAAAAACTTCAATGGTCATTACAGTTTTCCTCCTGGTGTCCAAATAAATACACCCCATATGTTGCCTAGGGCCATAAGAAAGTCTGTTTTTTTGTGGCCCCTTTTGAGAATAGCCTTCACTTCCTTATGCACCCCTTCATCAAGAGTGTTTTGCAACACTTCAACATCTGCCCTGCTCAACTCTCCCCTAATTTTTGGGATGTTCTAGTGGGTTTTCTAGTTTTATTTAAGAAACATGAGCTCGAGGTTCTCAGCCTTTCCTTTCTTGTGGATCTTTTCAATGTCAAGCTCACCTCATCTGAGGGTTTTTTGCATATCTCCAAGTGAACCATGGCTAGGCAGATCATTACTCACCTTTCGAACTCCCATAAGGGTTGGAAGAAATAATTTCTTTTCGTTGGGGGCACCAACTGGGAGTACAACCCTGCTGATAGAATTGACATTCTTGGTATCCCTAGAGCCTGGTCCACCCTCGATAACTTAGATGAGTCCTTGCTCGAACTGACTGAGTTCTGGTTTGAAAATTATCGAGTTGCCTTTTTGACCTTCGCTCTCCTTTTATTATTTTTCAGGCATTCGACCCGAGCTCAGTGCCGAGGACAAGAAAGTGAAGCAAAAGTTGGAGAAGTGTAATCTGGAGAAATACTCTGAGATCATCAAGCCCTGGGTTCTAATAACACATGGATTTAGTCTTCCTGAGGTATCGATAAAAGCTCCACTCCCCATTTCTGTTGTTAGACTTGAAGACGTAGAAGGTAACGCTTTCTGAATTGGTTTCTTTTTCTCCCCTTCTTTTTCCTCTTTTCTGTTTAACTAGCTTAGTTCAGATCTTCTAAGTCCCTCCATAATGAAATCTACTCTTAAGGAACTCCAGGCTAAGGTTGACCTATTGAAGAAGAATAGGAAGAGTAGCAAACAGAAGGCTGACACCAGCTCTGGAGGCAGCCTCGTTGACAAAGCTAAGGTGCAAAAGTTGGGAGTGCCTTCTTCTCCTACCTTGAGCAAAGAAGGACAAACTCCTTCATCTCAATCCCCGGTGACATCCTCTCTTCAAGGGGCCCAGCTTGCTCCCAAAAAGGCTTCAGAGCCAATGTTGGCTTCCTCTACCTCTTTTGAGGTTAAAGGAGCCTTGAGGCTGATTACTGGAATTCAGCTAGACCCCACTCCTCCTGGATCAACTAAACGACCATCCCAGCTGCCTCTCCAGAGCCCCAAAGTCAAAAAGAAGGAGGATCGGGAGACTGATGAAGACTCCTTCTTTGACAACGCTGAGTTGGCTGTTGGGGCCATTTCATTCATTCTTCCTGAATCCGATGTTCAGAGGGTCTCCACCATGCCCCCTGAGGCCTCTTTTTGTTTAGCTCTCCAAGGAGCAGCCACTATAAGAGGTTTTACTCTCCCACTTAGCTCGGTTCGATTAACTTGTGTTGATCTGTACTTGTTTTTTTTTTCTACTCCCAGATGGCTCTCCATTTGAAGAACTTGATGGGCAGGGTCCTATCTTCGGAGGACTCTGCTAAAGCATTAAAGACATACAAGTTTAAGGTCGCTGAGCTGACCTTGGACATCGCAAACCTCAAAGCTCAGGTGCAAGAGCTCAAAGAGCAAATGGAGAAGTAGGCCTCTGACCTCAAAGGTTTTCAAGCAGGCAAAGATAGGGTTGAGGAAAGAGAGAAGAAGGTCAGGGATGAGCTGAGATTGACCAGGAAAGAGCTGCTACTCAAAACTAATGCCTAGACCAACTTAGCCAGGAAGCCTTTGATGCTCGGAGTTCCCTCGAGGGCCTTAAAAAGGAGTATGTCATCTCGGCTGAAGCGAACGAGACTTTATGTAGTGAGCTTGAGGTGCAGAAGACTACTGTCAGGAAAAGGGATGACATAATAGCTGAGTTGAAGGATAATGTAACCACCAAGTGGGCCTCTGGATGGCTGGCCTTTTAGTATAAAATGAAGAAGGCCTATCCAGACCTCAACTTTGACTTTGCCATCCCCACCGAGGAGGAGTTGGAGGAGACTGATTCAGAGGGCAATGACAGCACCTTGGCTCCTGCTGCTTTCTAAT